TTAAATGTACAAGGACTAAACTGCCCCTACTTAAGTATGGGACAGAGAACCTCTAATAAGACTGCCACATAAGCTCATAACTTAACCAAGGTGAGTTGACTAATCTACCCTTATTTGGCTAACTCTAACAGGAGCCATTTTCATTTCTAATGCCCCCCCCCATACCTAAAGGGCCTGGGTTACCCATACAACTCCCATCGAAATTCAGCTTCATCCAACCCTCTGTTGGAGGGGACCAGGTTTCACAAATTTGTTGCCTCATAGTTGATGAAGCAGCAATAAGTCCCCAAACCCTGAAGAAGTCTTCGACTTTAATATCTGAGAACTGCTTTAAACTTTTTACCCAATGTGCCACCCTCAATGTTATTGTTTCCACAAGAGCTTCCTTGCATTTTTCCTTACTTTCAAATATTCTATCATTTCTTTCCTCCCAAATAGTCCAAAGTATTGCTGCTCTAGTGCACCTCTAGAGAATCCTTCCCCTCCTTGTCTTACCACTGCAACCATTAGGGTTGAATAAACCTTCCAATTGGTCAGGAGAAGACCACTTGCACCCAAAAAGAGAAGTAAACCAATTCCAAATGAAACTGACAAAGGGGCAAGATAAAAAAAGGTGGATAGCAGTCTCACCATTCAACTTACACAGGACACACTAGTTAGGGGGCAAGCACCCATTTGGCCTCTTCCTTTGAAGTACATCAAAGCTATTAATACAACCATGAAAGACTTCCCAACAAAAAGCACTGGTTTTAGGGGAAATAGGATGGCACCAAATTTCTTTGAATAAAAACTGAAGAGAAGACTATGTGGCAACCATCGAATGAAAAAATGATTTACAAGAAAAAGATCCATCAGGATTAGGACCCCAAATTCTAGAATCTAACCCACCTTCCCCCAAAAAAAACTGAATTCAGCAAACCTAACAACTCAGAGACTACAAGCAGTTCAGATTCTCTAAGATTCCTATTAAAACCAAGGTTCCAATTCAATCCTGGCAAGTGAGAATGATGGTTTAGGAAATCAGAAATAGGCTTTCCCTTGAACCATTAGGGTTTAATAAAATTTTTCTTTATCTTCAAAAGGAAACTCCTTTGCGAACAGCCTTACCAATGGGTAGTTGGTAGACCTGAGTTGTAACAGGGAAACTCTATCAAGGTAAAGAGGTGTTGATTATTTGTAACTACTATTTGCCATTTCTTTTTGTTTCTCATCTTTGTGGGTTTTTCCAGATTCCTTATCTTCTAGGCCTTGACTAGGCTTCTCTTCCATTTTCTTCTTCTCATGATAAACTCTACTTTAGCTGCTCAGGAAAAAGGACTTACTACTCTATTGTTTACACAAACATATCTTTTTCTTGGAATTCTTTTCTCTTTTTTTTTTATCAGCACTCTTTCTTTCTTTGCATTCTTGCCACAATCAAAAAAGAAAATCTGTACAGATATCATTGTATTTGTTTTTAAACTACTTTGTGGAAATACAAATCCCTCAGATTAGGGAGAATTTCTACCAAGGAATTCAAGTCATCAGTGACAGTATTCTAAAGGAAATTCTCTTTTCTTTTTCTTTTCTTTCCAAGGAATCGTGTACAATAAACTTAATAAAAGATTGCACAACAAGAATTGTACAAGTTATTCAAACAAAGACAAGAGGTGTTAAAATTCTCATACCTCTGCTGCACTATCAAGATTTGCTGAATCAGATGCCTTTGGGTTTCCATAAGGACAAATTTCATCTTCACGACCACGCCAAACAGGAGACTTGAGTGAGGTCTCTCGAGACTGCATCCAGTTCAAGTTCCCCTGGACAAGTTTTGGCAGCATCATGTACCAAAAAAGAAGACATCAAAGTCATTTTATATCCATGAAATACTAATATAAAAATGTTTAGATGAGTCTATTAATAAAAATACAAAAAATGGATAAAAAGACCCAAAATACAGACAAAAAGCACATAAAGGGAAACAAATAGCACCGAGATGATTAATTAAGTATAAATAGGAGAATCAAAGACGAAACCTGTATAGTATTGATTTCTCCATTATGACCAAGCAATCTCATTGGTTGTGCCAGTGGCCACCTGGGACTAGTATTTGTGCTGTACCTTCTGTGATAGATAGCAAAAGGAGATTTATAAAGATCACTCTGGAGGTCAGAATAAAATTGCCCAAGAACTTCTGACCGAAGCATTCCTTTGTAAACAATAGTTTGATTGGACAAAGAACAGAAATATAGCTCATCTCCCCACTTCTCTAACTTTGATACTCTTTCTATCAACTTCCGGCAGATGTATAGCTCTCTTTCAATGTCATCAATGTTTTCTTCATTTGAAATTTTCACAAATACTTGCTGTATGTTGGGCATGGTTTCTTTTGCATAGTAACCAACAACTGCCACATTTATAGGAACAGGTCTCCATCCAAGAACGTCAAGGCCCTCTTGCTTGAAGGTATTTTCAATAACTGCAGAGAAAATGTATATTTGTTATTAAGAACAAATTTATGTTAAAAGAGAAAAATAAGTAGTGGGTACACTGCAATAAAATCAGAAAGCATAAATTAGATATAAAAGCATACAATGAATTTACACAATATATCATCAAGAAAGGGCAAATACAGAAACAGCAATACAAACAATATTTTTTAATCAACAAACAATACAAACAATATAGAAAACTTATTGACAGAGGAATAGAAGTAGATGACCAATAAATATCTGAAAATGCTTTAAGAAGGTTAAGCAAGGGTAACTAATCATATATAGAGCACAATGAAAAGATTCTTTCTTGTCATTAACTGCTCAGAATTTTATTAGTTATGAGGAAGAAATCAATAATTCAATATTTAGCTATACAATGCTAATTGGGTATCAGGCATACTAAGTTTTGTGATACCAGTATACAGCACCTATGAGTCACAGATAGCTAGCCTAGGACATAAAAAGATGCATCAGATAAGCATGGACATTTATGCAAGTGCACTAAAAGGAAAACTAGATGAACAGAGACAAGGATCATGTTGCTATCAGCATCACCTGATTTTGCTTCTTTCATAGAATCATCATCTTTGGGGAGAAAAACCATTCCCACACCAGTGTGCAACTTATCTAAAGAAGCAATCCCTTGTTTATTTGCCCAATTGTTGAATAGCTCCCATGGAATTGAAGTCATCAATCCAGAACCATCACCAGAATCATTATCTGCTCCACAGCCACCACGGTGTTCCATACAGCCAAGGGCTGTAAGAGCATCTTTGATAATCTCATGTGATGCGTTGTTCTCCAAGTTTGCAATAAACCCAACTCCACATGCTCCTCTTTCAGATATGATATCATTCAAATTTGCAACCTGAAAAACTTGTAATAGCAATGTCAAGAGTATGGATAAAAGCAAACTCAAGTTTATTTTACATGCATGGTATAAAAGACCAAAATCATATGATAATACAGTAGGTTTTCTGTAACACATCTTGAAATCATAACCAAGGTTCTAGTTCAAACCCTGATGTAGGTTTTCATACCAAGAAAGCCTCAGTCACTCTTTGCTAGGTTTCGTTATGAGATATTTTATAGCCTTCTAATTGCACAATAAAGAAACAGGAATTGTTGCCAATATGACCTTATGAGGCTTGTCCAAACATTTTAGCATTGTAGAAGGGAAAAAAAAAAAAAGAGAAAAGGTTGACATGATAAGGACATGTAAGAACATTGCAACAAAATAAGTCAAAAAGTGCTATGGGAGGAGAGGAATGCAAAAAATTTAAAGAGAGAGGAGCAGGGAGGCTGTAATTGAATATATAATTGTTAGTACGGCCCACTGGCTAAAACCATTGGAGCTATTCTTGAATTGGTAATTAGTAATAAATAAAAAATAAAATTTTAATAATAAAGGAAAGGAATAGATCAAAGGTGGTGAGAGATCCCTAAAGACAATCAAATTATAATAAGTAAAACAACAACAAAATATACCAAAATCAAACTTCTAAAACAGATCAAAAGTTGTCTTCATACATTTCCTTTGGAACACCTTCAAATTCTGGCAAAACTAATACCCAATCCATAAGCCTTTTCCACCTTCAAATTCTCGGATTTCTCAGTGGATGACTTGAGAAGAAAGTCACAAGAAGTGGTTCTAACTTTGACTCTGAAGTTTAGGACCAGCTTTTTGGACACCACCAAAAGTAACTTCGACGGAAGCAGCAAATCGAACCTAGGCCCTTTAGGTGTTGGAGGTCTTTCCAGATATGAGTCAGGGCATGTGTTGGCAATGTTTTCAGGTCCTATAGGCATCGATGATTCTTTGAAGGCTGAAGTTATGGCAGTTGTGGAAGGGGTAAGCAAGGCAAAGGAGCTGAATGTGAATAAACTGATTATTTAAAGGGACTCACAAGTGTTCATCAATTGGCTGCTAAACAGGGGGGATAAGTTGTGGGTATACAAAAATGAGTTAAAAAGTTTAAATGGATAACCACACATGGATATTAAAATTCAATGAGTGCAAAGAACGCCTGACAGCATGGTGGATTCCTTGGAAAAACAAAAGGCTGGGAGGATTCAAATATTTTGGGCTCAGTTGTAAAGCTTTTGGATTGGAGATGATCTGTTATCCTTTTGCTTTCTGTACACTTTGTAATTTTCTATTAATACTTTAATGAAATTGAAATTACATTTAATGATCAAAAAAAGATAAGGAAAATTCATCTATAATGCTAAACTCAAAAAATGGGTTTATCTATAATGATAAACTCAAAAAATGGCCACGTCCTTCATATGGCCAAAGGAAAGAGGAAGAGTATTATGGAGGGTGATAACAGCAGCAATTGTGTGGACATTTGAGAGGAAAGAAATGCTAGAATTTTCAAGGAGAAAGAAAGATCCTTGGAAGCAGTCATTGAGTGCATCACTGTTAGTGTGGTATATTGGATCAAGTCACTTAAACTATTCCAACCTCACTGAGTAGAGGATATAGTCAAAAAGTGGAAGGAAATGGCAAGCACAGACCAGAAGAAAGGAATAACCCTTAGAAAGTGCATACCACCAGTGGAGGGTTTTATCAAATTAATTTTGACAGCAGTGTGGGGAATCCAGGACCTTTAGGGATAGGGGGAGCTTTCAAAGACAAGAAGGGTAATTTAATGGCTGTGTTCTTAGGGTCAATAGAAGAAGGTGACTCACTAAGAGCAGAAATTATCACTGTGATTCAGGGAAGACAAAAGACACATGAGATGAAGATCAAGAAGCTTGTGGTGGAAGACAACTCTAAGGTGGTGGTGGGATGGCTACAGAGGGAGGACGCTCTTTGGATCTATAGGAATGAAATAAGGAAGTTCAAATGGCTAATAGAAGGAATGCATGTGAAGGTGCAATGCACACATAGATCGGCCAACTCTTTGGTTGATGTATTAGCCAGTCAAGGGGGCTGTTAGAAATCAATTATTCTGGGCTGAATTGTAAATGCTCTTTTCATGGATTAGATACGCATTGTGTTTCTCTCATTCATGTATAATACTTTGTACACTTACTTCTCAATAATTTAACAATGGATATGGCATTAAATAGAACAGATCAGTGAAACAAGATTCATGTAGCCAAACCCCATATAGTTGTGATAAAGCTTGGATGACAACAATGATTATGATGATGAAGTTATTTATCAAAAAATAAAATAAAATAAACCATATACACATTCTTGCTTATAGCCAATAGAAACATAATGAAATTGCCAACTGCCTAGGGAATAACAGATTACTTGGATTCTCTATGTTGTTTAAACCTCTATAATATGACTATATGCTTCTTCTATTTCATTGATTTTCTTTCCCTAGTATAAGTAAACTATACACTACTACTATCTTAATAAAAAAAATAGTAACTTATAATCAGAATTAAATAAAAATAGATAAAAATGCTGCGGGTCTCAGATTGAAGATGAAGTTGCAATTGTCAGGGTAAGAAAAATGTAATAGAATTGTGTTGATTAACTGGAACATTAGAGGCTATATTGATCGCTCAACCCAAATTTCAGAATATGGAATTACACCATGTGCCAATCCAAAAGTTGGCCCAGTAAATTTCAAACAATAAAAACATAATTGATCAACAACTGTCACCTTATAGCTCCATGATAACGTCCACCGTCATTTCAAAATAAACAACCAAATATGTAATCAATCTTAACGTCCATAACACAGTAGCAGCATTTGAGTGACTAACAACCTTATGCCATTCCGGAACCCTCTTACCGATGCATAGGCCAATCGCCCCTCACAGACATGATAAATTCAAGATTGCTATTTAGTCGTCAACACAATTATGAAATTCTAATTATCACGATCATCAATCAATATAAAGTCAAAAACCAGAGTAACCATACCTCTACTAAAAACTCAAATGCTAATTAGAACTAGCATCGACAGAGATGATCAAATAAGACAACTACAACCAACACATTATACATTTAAGTTCAAATATAGAACTTAAAAATTGCAGCCTAACCAGAAACTATATAAAGTAACTTCTGTCATTCCAAAGCAGAATTCTCTGTATTCAAAAGTAGATACTACATAGTCTCTTCATTGACAGAAGTCATAGCGTGAAGCATACCTCGTTTTCAGCACGTCGAACTGTGTCAGATTCCTTAGAAGCGAAATCCACACGATTGACGTCAAGAACAGCTTTCACCGACGACCAGCTCCTCCCCAATGACCCCCGACCTCTCCGGACTGCTCCGATTCCGATTCTCTGTCTCGTCCGTTTCGATTTACAACACAGACCGATGAAGTCTGCGAAGAGAAGTCCTCTGTTTGCGTCGAAAATTGAACTCTTTGTTGCTGAAAGTGAAGTGCTGGATGAGAAGCCATTAGAGTATAGAAGTTGTGGCATGGGTACGATGGACTGAAGAGCCATAGCTGATCACCAAACGGAACACCAGAAAGAGGGAGAGAGAGAGAGAGAGAGAGAGAGAGAGAGAGAGAGAGAGAGAGAGAGAGAATGAAAGAGGGAGAGGGAGAGGATCGTGTGGAGAAGAGAACAAATGGATGTGAAGATAAAAGAGCAAGGGCCGGAAGCACACACCTCCTCTAGCGTCTACCTCGTCTCAGAAGCACAGAGTCCACTGGCCTGCTCCGATCCAGTAAATCTCATTTTACTTCCACACATTTAATCACCACGGATAAGGAATCTTAGTCAGATGTTTAACAGATCAGACATGATCAAATCGTGTGAAGCCTACCTAATAGACTGGATATAGGAGTGTAGGATCACATGTGAAGAAAGAACAAAAGCGATTACAGCATGGACCGTTCTATTCACCGGTTACTGCCGGTTTTCTTGGGCGTTTTATCCGTATTAAAGACTGGCAATAGCCGGTTGGGGGCTCCCGATTAGCCGGGCATGTTTTGTCAGCTCTGACGTTCGCAACAAATTGTCGTTGAATATTATTGGGCGAAATATAAGAAAGTTGCTTCTGTACGGCCAACCGTGCAGATTCTGCGTCCATCTGGACCGTCCAAGTGGCTAAGTTGATCCAATTAGCCAATGCTGGCTGCTTCACTGTTTTTGGGCCAGATTCTTCAGTACAGCTTTAATCAGATAGGTATTTTGTCATGTTTTGGATAAACAATTAGATCAGATTTTAGTGGGCTCGGAAACCTTTGGGATTGGAATAAGTGTAGTTTTGTGGCCGCACAGTTGGTAAATGACTTTTCAGTGCGGCAGTGCCTGGTGGGTCAAGTCACATGGATGATGGAACAAACTCAGGCACATTATATTAATTTTTGCTGATGTTGGCATATCATATATTTGAAGTCAACTTGGAAAACACCATTCTTTACTTGCAAAAGGACAAATTACATATGTGGTGCTAATATTATATTATAAATATTAGTAAGATTAGTATATGGATTAAGATAACAAAAACTTAATTGCTTTTTTGGGTGTTTCAAGAGATTCTTCTCAATCCTTACAATCGAAGTTTAAAGTATCAGAGATGTAATGTATATCGAAGAAACAATTTTAAGAGACATATCGAGATATGTTTAAGATATGAATGGATACAGATAGAAAATTAAGATATGCATAAATACACTAAAAAAACTTATATAAATCCTAAAAATATATGTTAATTATAATAAATATAAGTTTTATATCACTATAAATAAGCTATTTAAATATAAAAATCCATATTTCAATGTTTGTGTATGCATACATACCATAGTATTTAAAGAATCAATATAATTTGTATTAATATTTACCATTTTCAGAAAATAGGACCGATTGACCTATTAGACTGATTGGACCATGACTAGATTGGGTTAAAAATTTGCTTAAACTTGCCGACCTGACTAGTCGAACTCGATTACTAGTGATTCAGTCTTGGCTTTAGAAAAACAACTGATTTTTTAAATTGTTTTAACACATTAATGCAAACTTCTAAAGGCCATAACTTTTTGCTCAAATGTCCAATTGCGGTGACCTTTGTTTTTATTTTAGGTAACTTTTCGATATAGGTGCCTTATAAAAAATTGAAATTAAAATAAAAAATATATGTTATAAAAGAACACAATTATATAATCTGAATATATTAAAATCCAATATATAATTTATAATATACATATATATATAATATTACATCATCACAATTTGACCTCGGTTGAACCTCTAACCTATGAACCTCTCCCTTTACTGGGTTAATGTCCAACCCAATTCTCTAAACATTGATATTTATTATATATATTTTAATGATGAACTTTAGTTTTTATTGGTAGTCATTCACTAACATACCAATTTAATTAAAAATTAAAATATAAATTTATATGACAAACTCTTAATTAAATGTGATAATTAATTAAGAGTTATTAAATTTGAATTTGAAAAGTTACTAATATTAAGAGAGAAGGATGGAATATAAATTTGAATTAAGAGTCATTAAATTCAAATTTGAAATTGAATTTCGAGTTGTATCCATGCAGTGTATCGGGATTGTATCGGTTGATACAAACCCAAAATGGACCAATACGGGCTGAAACAAACCCAAAACGGTCTAATACTATCGAAAATAAATGAAACATACAGATTTTGTATGTTACGTGTATCGAATCTTCAACGAAACACAACATATCGGCCGAGTACTAAACGCTTGAAACATTTTTTGTCACACTAGTGTAATTGCACATGCTATGCATGTGTGCAAGTAAATGACAAGGACATGAGAACATTATGTAATTGAGAAAATTTATGATGCCAAAAAAGACATGATACCTGAAATGGTTTGACCAATCACAACTCTTGTAAATTTGATGAAAACCCACCTGATTAGTTATATAATAGTATATATTTTGTTTAAGACAACCCAAAAGAAGAAACTTATCCAAACATAAGCTATTTTATTTTATGAGTATTTCCTTTTGGGTAAGTTAGTGTAAGAGCATATATTATGCACATTGTGCAAGTATTAATCATATATGATATATGGTATTTGGATTTAACTTTTATTATTGACACAAAATCCAAGGCAAATATTCACATTAGTATAAAATTATAGATTTGGTGTGTACAAGGACATATAGATGGGCCTTGGCCACCATAATTTGCCAACAAGGGCGGAGCCAGAAATTTTTTGTGAGGGGGGCCAAAACCTGAAGTGAAATGGGGGAGGGGGGAATAAGTATTGATGGGCCCATTGGGGTGGAGAGTTTGGGAGGGGGGAAACTTACATGGAAAGCTCTATTTCCAAGTGAAGAATTATGGACTATAGGGGGGCCATGGCTCCCCTGGCTCCCCGCCCGAAATTTATTTCCAACTTGATCCAAATCCATTATAAAATGAATATGTTCATATATACTTAAATTTTATAATATATGTTTAGTAAACTTGAATTGAATGTTGTGTTTTTACTATTGTAATAGGTTCTAAGTTTTATACATGTAATTTTCAATTCATTTTGTTCATTGTCCATATAATAGTGCATCAAAATCATTGTTAGTTCATTTTATTAATCTATACTACCTATAAAAGAGCGAATGCCCCTTCTTTCAGGAATTTTCAGTGGACATTTTCTATCCCCCTTGTCTAAACATACAATGGGCATAAAGAGGGCATATATGTCCTTTACCCTCATTTTAAAAACTGCACATGAATTATAAATAATTTTGTCTTAGAGATATTGCCACGTGAAAATGCACGTATATGTTTACTAGTAATATAAAATATTTTGATCATTTTCAGTTTATTTTATTTATATTATTCAATATCCATTGCAATTCGAATTCAATTCTAATTCAATCTAAATACAATGGATAATATCTTATTCAAATTTGAACTGTGTATATAATATATAGTAAAACTTAGATCTAGCAATATCCCATTCAACCCATTTGCAGCCCTGCATTTTACCTGTAAAAATTCCAATTTTTCATTATTTTTTAGGCTCAATTTGAAAATAGTACAAATACAAATATGTATAGTATAAAATGCATTCGAGATAATACAAAATACAAGGTTATGCATTCCACATATTTGTAGAGTACAAAACCTTGTATTTGTATTATTTTCTATATATTTGCATCGTACATATTTGTATTTGTACTCTTTCCGAATGAGCTTTAAGCTCGATTTGGAAGGAGTACAAATACAAATATATAGAGTGCAAAACCTTATATTTTGTATTATTTTGAATGTATTTGCACTCTACATATTTGTATTTGTATTCCTTCCAAACTGGGCTTTAGTGGCTCTGAATATGTGTGCAAATCTTGCAGCCAAACCCAGTATTTCCACCATCAAGGCCTATTCTAGTTTTCAAGACATTGCCTAAAGCATCCAACTCTAAGTATATCACATCAAAAGATGAATTTAGTTTGTTTCAATTATAGGGCAAGGGTTGGAAATAGAGTGTGGAATAAGGTTTCAGAGCATTAAGATGTACAGGTGCAAGTTATGCATTTGAGTGAGTTCAATTCTAACATGACCTAAGGCTCAGTTTGGAAGGAGTACGAATACAAATATGTACAATGCAAATACATATAAAATAGAACAAAATATAAGGTTTTACACTCTACATATTTGTATTTGTACTCCTTCCAAACCAAGCCTAAGTTGTTGAACTTGAACCTCCAAACCTAACCAGGCCTGGTTGAAATTGGATTAGGCTCGGATTGGTCCCCTTTTTTTTTCATTTTAGGGGTGTTTGGCATTGTGGACGAAACCATGGTCAATGAATACCTCTTTTTAAGTTCATCCACACCTTTGTTGGTGTTCTTTGAGATCATAGTATTGTGAATCAGTATACACTATCTCACAATTTCTCATTTATACCTAGATATTGTGGATCAATTCATGCCATGATATATTCAAACATTCTTACAAGTTTTGCAATAAATGATTAAGATTTTTTACTCACAAAACATTCACCACCATAGCGCATAATGCTTACAAAATGTGATACCACACCACGTTGGGGCCCAATGGCTATCTCCACATCACACAATTTCCTATTCATTTTATCGAACAACCAAGTGTGGTTCAAATATTTTTGTTTCCTAAATTTAAGTTGGGATTGAAGTTTACTTATTTCAGCATTATTATATATACAACAACAAATTTTTGGGGGTTTAGGAGTTCCATAATTATACTACGCTAGAAAGTTTTTCTTTTCAATCTTGAAATTGTTTACACATATAAATACATAAATACATTTTGTACACGCATGATTATACTTTATACACATGCATACGTACACATTTATATAATATTACTATTAAATGTGTACATGCATTATATGTAGCAATTTCTAATGATGATAATAATGTTGATAAAAATTCATTGTTATTATGAGATCTCACATGAAAAAGATAAGTAATCAAAACATAGTTTAATTGGTATCATAAAAGTGACAACCATTTAGATGGTCATCATCATCATGCATCTAAGCCTTGTTCCATCTATATGGAATTGGCTATATGAATAATCTTTCACCATTGAAATCTATTCAATGCTACATGTATCTTAAGTTATAGACACTTAAATCATTTTTTATTACTTCTACTTGTGTTCTTTTTTATTTTTCCCCTAGCTCTTCTAGCCTCTTTAACATTAAATTGGTAACTTTTTTTTTTTCAAACACTATATATGATT